AAGAGTAGCCCAAGAGTCGGCGGTGGGTGGTAGATGACTGGCTGCCTTCGCTCTAGTCTTTCAATACTAAATTAGGGACGGCTAGCGCAAATAGCCCTCGTGTAGTTTTGCGCGAAATTCAAATCAAACCTTAAATTTACAGACAAAATCTTTAGTAAAAATACTTAATCAAAAATTCAGATTATTTTAAATTTTGTATGCAAATGGCTTGTAACTTTACTAAAAGCTTGCTCAACTTCGTGAAGTTACACAAAGGACATTCAGAGTTATAGTATGTGGAGTTTCATTGTTATATTATGGCTACAAGGTCGGTCATTTTGACCGACCCCATGATATTTCTCATATTTGTTTTGAAAAATAATCCACTGTATCTACCACAAATAATTAAACATTAAACATGCAACTGATGAAATAGTTTGAGGTAAAAGTTCACAAATGATTTCCTTTGATACATGCTTGGAAGGAGGGGTCACGTGAAACTAATGCCCCTAAATGCTGTTCCATATTAACTTTTTCATTAAAAACTGATTGAACTTTTAAATTTTAAGTTTTCAAATTAAATCTATTTCTTGTTTTAATTTACACTTATAAAACAAACACATTTTATGACCACAAAAGCCATAAGCCCTTCATACGGAGATCCTTATATTTCACTGAGTTAAAATTGATCTGTGGCATAAATGTTTTTACTGCTACCAATTTCTTACTACCCAGGGGGTGCAACTCTCTAAATCATTTGACTTTCTCTTTCAGCATTAAGAGTAAACGAAAAGTAAACGCTTTTTTACGGCGCTGGCTCCTTGATTTTGTAGCAGTTCCAATTAGCATTAGTTTCTGCGCCGTAATCAATTGTAAAACTTGAAGTAGCCAAGATTAGAATACGTTTCTCGTGTGTATTTAGTTTTGATTAATAATAATGGTAACGAAATTAGAGTATCCTTCTACGTAGTCAACTGTGGGTAAGCCCCTTAGTAACCAAAACTATATATAGTATGATTTTACTGTGTAGCAACCATAATTGGAATATACTTCTAGTGCATAGTTTCCTGTAAGATTTTTCTTCGTAACCCAACACACAGGTTAAGTAACGCTAAAGAAAAGGAAACAGCCGTCACAATCCCACACTTCACATTCGTTTAGCCGTCACAATCCCATACTTCACATTCGTTTGCATTTAAAAAACAAGATCTTTCACGTTAGAAGTTAGTATGAAACTGATCACAGGACAAACCAACAGGTTTATTTCAGTGGCAGTCATAATTAACATGACATAGGTGAGCACGTACTCACCCACATTATACCGGTCGTTGTCAGATAGCCCCTGATATAAATAACTATAGTTCTGAGTAAATCATTCAAAGATGTGTGCATATTCTTAAAGGCTCTAAACACAAACGTTGAAGAAACAGATAGTTTCTGTGTGCATGGCTGTCACGATCTATCGTGTGGTGGTACCACCACAAAAAATGGTTTTCTATAAACAGGAGTTGAGAGTCATCTATTGTCCCATTTGACGGTCATATTTTGGCGTGTCAGAATTATCTTGAGACTTTATTGGAATTTGAAAATCATCTTAATTTGATTAGTCCTACCATCAGATTTACATTAGAAACGGAAAAAGAAGGCCAATTCATGGGTCATTTAACTAAACGAAGACCAATTCATGGGTCATTTAACTTACTTAAGTAGGATCAGCAAATCGTTTTTTCATCTTGATATTCACATCTAGATTTAATATGATCACTTGAAGCTTGAAGAATGAACTAATTTTTTATACTCATTTTTGATCTCTTCTGAAACGAGAGAAGTTTTTATTTTATTCAGCACATCCCTATGGTTTAGAATCATAAATTTCCCTACCAATGACATTGATAGATGAAACAGTAGAAACTGTAACAGATTAACATACATATTTATTAAGAAAAAATAGGTCCAGCGTCACTTTTGAGTCACTATGAACCGGGCATGTTGTGACGAGTCAAAGATTAACGTACATATTTATTAAGAAAAAATAGGTCCAGCGTCACTTCTGAGTCACTATGAACCGGGCATGTTGTGACAAGTCAAAGATTAACATACATATTTATTAAGAAAAAATAGGTCCAGCGTCACTTCTGAGTCACTATGAACCGGGCATGTTGTGACAAGTCAAAGATTAACATACATATTTATTAAGAAAAAATAGGTCCAGCGTCACTTCTGAGTCACTATGAACCGGGCATGTTGTGACAAGTCAAAGGTCAAATTTTAAGCTTTCTTACAAGCAAATTTCGTTTAGAATCCAGCCTTTTGTGAAATGTTTAGGTGACCTAGTTAAAAAACAACTTTTTTGAGTACTAACGTTTTCTCCGGTTAAAAATTTATGTTAATCACAAAGCAAAATATACTGTTCTGAAATTACGTATAATATGCTTAAGATAATAATGGCATCATCAGGTGATTCACATAACGAAAATAGGGTTGAAAATTATTTACGATATATCTGTCTCTAACTTTTAATTCAAGTGTATATTTCCATTTGTAATCACCACCTGATAGCATAAAGGAAAAACCACTTACAGCAAACGTTATTTGATGTATTGTATTTTATGATGCAGCAGGCGTTTAGTTTTTATCAAACTGGAAGAGCACTTGTACGGTAATCTGTAACAGGTAATAATAATAATACTGATGAAAAATATGTTGCAAAGCTCTGTTTTCAAGGATTGTAACTTTGATCTGCTAGGAGAATGAGCTGGAGAGTGCTGAAACGTCCATAGCAGCTACGAAGAATGACCTCAGAATGGCTTATCAAAGAATACAGGACCTACAAAAAGCATTACAGGAAGATTTGGAGCCTGATTCGGAGACTGGGAATGAAAGGTTAGAACTTCTGTACATGTGAACCTTCGTTTTTACACTGTGTGAGTCGATAGTGCAATTTCTGAGAGGAGGGTCGTTTTATGTAGATATTAATAAAAATTCAAATGAACAGTGCATGTTTAAAGTTCGAAAATATAAAAAGGAAAGAATGAATGTTAGAAATGAAGGTTAACTTACTGAACAGAAAACACCCTTTTCTTGCTGTTGTTAGTTTTGAAATTGCATATACAGTCGAAATTAATAAAGTTCATATGACGTATATTTGCAGTGATTCCGACAAAGAACCCTTTGAACCAAGGCTAAGTATCTTTAGAAGATCGGCATCTCTTCAGGGTATTAGAACAGAATTTCCTCTAATGTATGAAGACAGATCACTTTCTCCCGGTAAGTAGGCTAAACGTTCGTCATAATGTATGAAGACAGATCACTTTCTCCCGGTAAGTAGGCTAAACGTTCGTCATAATGTATGAAGACAGATCACTTTCTCCCGGTAAGTAGGCTAAACGTCCGTCATCTTTTACAGGAAAGAAATACCATTGATATTTATTGCATTATAGAAAAATCATATATATGTTTCTACATTAGTAAGAACAAAGAGTGAATAGTGCCTTCCAGAAGTCCATAACACATATACAAAAATAAATGTCCTTTGTTTGACATTGCTTTGCCAGTAGACTGTAATTTCGCTACGATTTCATACGTTCTTTTTACTGGTAAGTAGACCTTAGGTAATTCCAAATACAACATAAACACTTGTTTTCGTTTAATAACTGGAAGCATGTGTTTTAATCATCAACAATCTCTAGCAGGATATGACGTGTGTTCTGTAAAGTTTAATATAGTAGGCTTCTATAAACCATGCTTTAGCAGGAGATTAGGTGTGTTCTATAAAGTCTAACATAGTAGGCTTCTATAATCCATCATTTAGCAGGTGATGACGGGTGTATCTGTAAAGTTTATCATAGTAGGTTTCTATAATCCATGCTTTAGCAAGAGATTAGGTGTGTTCTGTAACGTTTAACATAGTAGGCTTTTATAATCCTGTTAAAGCATGATTAGGTGTGTTCTGTAAAGTTTAACATAGTAGGCTTCTATAATCCATGCTTTAACATGAGATTAGGTGTGTTCTGTAACGTTTAACATAGTAGGCTTCTATAATCCATGCTTTAGCAGGAGATGAGGTGTGTTCTGTAAAGTTTAACATAGTAGGCTTCTATAATCCATGCTTTAACATGAGATTAGGTGTGTTCTGTAACGTTTAGCATAGTAGGTTTCTATAAACCATGCTTTAGCAGGAGATGAGGTGTGTTCTAATCTCCTGCTAAAACATGTATTATAGAAGCCTACTATGTTAAACGTTACAGAACACACCTCATCTCCTGCTAAAACATGTATTATAGAAGCCTACTATGTTAAACTTTACTCCTGCTAAAGCATGGTTTATAGAAGCCTACTATGTTAAACTTTACAGAACACACCTAATCTCCTGCTAAAACATGTATTATAGAAGCCTACAATGATAAACTTTACAGAACACACCTAATCTTCTGCTAAAGCATGGATCATAGAAGCCTAATATGTTAAACTGTACAGAACACACCTCATCTCCTGCTAAAACATGTATTATAGAAGCCTACTATGTTAAACTGTACAGAACACACCTAGATACACCCGTCATTACCTGCTAAAGCATGTATTATAGAAGCCTACTATGTTAAACTTTACAGAACACACCTAATCTCCTGCTATAGCATGGTTTATAGAAGCCTACTATGTTAAACTTTACAGAACACACCTCATCTCCTGCTAAAGCATGGTTTATAGAAGCCTACTATGATAAACGTTACAGAACACACCTAATCCATTCCTTGCTAGATAAAGGAATATACAAGTTCAGTATGTTACACACATATAGTTCTGTAATGTTTAACAAACTGTGCCTCTTTAATCTCTTGCTCTAGCGAGAGATAACACGTGTATTTGTACATGAGGTTCTCTACAGTATAAGATAAAAGGTTTGAAAGTTGAATGCTTCAGAAAGATATGTCGTGTGATTCTGTAATGTTTAATATGTATGTTCTCTAATACAACAAGATATTTATTATACACTAAAGCATATGTCAGATAATGTACCTTCCACAACTAGAGAGTGTAGTATTTTATCTACGTTGCCAAGCTAGATAATGTATTATATACATAGAATGTATAGTATGTTCTTCAGGTAAAAGAGTAACGTTCAACTCTAAGTTGCATTATATATATATATATGTATATATATATAAACAATAATGTGGAGATTTAATAGAACACCCCATTGCTCATGTAGTTTTGAGTTTTTGCGCTCACGCAATAAAACCGGTGTAGTTTAAAATGTTGGATGAAGCTTTAAGATAGGAAAATTATTGATTTTCTCCTCTTATTCATAATTTTGATATGTTACATAGTTCATTAACTGAAAATTTTAATAGAATAACAACACAGAGCCACCAATGATTAAGTGTAATGTAGTTTTTTAAAGTGGTTCTAAACTCAAAGCGGTGCAACATTGTTAGCCTTTAGTTTCCGAACTACTAATCACTGACAGGATTCTAATATTTTCTCACTCTGAAATGTTTATGCAGGTACATGTAAAAATATATGGGATTATTAATTTTTCAAAAACATCATCCAGTACAACATGTAGTGTGATGTTCCTATTAATATGCCAAAACAAAGACAATTGGCACCATTTAGAAGAGTCAGAGTCCAATATTTACATGATGCTGATTGGATTTTAAGAAAAGTACCAAAATATCTTGGCAGTTTATCAATTACTGTGAAGTTCACATTAGACAGATACTAGAAAAGCCAATCCTGTAACACCAGACAAGGCAGGAGACGGAGAAGGAAGCTTACTGTAAAATATGTTGTATATCCAAAAATGTATTTCCTGAAAAACTGAAGATAAACTGCGTAAAACCTTGCTGATGACATCACCAACTCATGCGCAGATAAAGTTTTAAGTATTGTCTCCAGTATGCTGGGGAAGAGCAGCAGCAAGAGAGCCCTTATTGCGAAACATAACCTTGCAAAGAGACAAGCTTTTAAGAAACAATATGAACCTTTGTTATTTGTAACAGTGGCCTTAGACAGATGAGTCTATGTTTGAACTCTTTGGTTCCAACTGGCGTGTATATGTTTGACAAAATGCTGATGAGAGGTTTCAGAAGGAGTGCTTTGTGCCAACAGTCGAGCATTTAAAAAGCTTTATGGTGGTTTGGGGTACAATATTAATATCTGCAAATGTTATTAACTATCTTCACAAAACGTTTGGTGCCACAGCATGTTAGTTCATAATGGAAAGAAGCTAATTGGACAAAATTACATATTTCAAAATGATAATGATCCCAAACACGTTTTCAAGAAATGTTGAGCTTATTTTGTAGAAATTCTCCAGCGGATGGAATGGCCACTATAAAGTCCAGACTGTAAGCTCAAGGAGATCTCCAGTGGATGGAATGGCCACCATAAAGTCCAGACCTTAACCCCATAAATCATATCTGGAATTTGTTAGACTTCTTGTCTGATAAAAGTACTAAAGAAAGCTTCTAGACACAGCTTCAATAAAAAAATTAAAACAAATTACCAAAAAGAATTTGATAAAATATATAGACATTTTGCCACAAAGATGCCAAGCTATTAAGGATACCAAAGGTGGCCATACTAAATAATAGCTAGCATGAAAGAAACTTAAATGTATTATTTGTGTACTAATGTGTACTGATTTTATAATAATTTTCTTGTAAGATTAGATTTCGATAATTACAAGTTAATGTCGATAGCAAACTAAGGACTACTTTGTGCGTATATCTCATAAAATGACAATTGTTAGTTTTCTAATAAATGTCCACACTACTGTATATATATATATATATATATCACCTTCCCATTTGAAATAATATATTCTTTTAACTAAACTATGCGTATTTTCTTTTCTAGCTAAACGATTCAAATTGACATGAAAAGTAAACATAATTACAGAATTAAGGAAAAACAAGACAATTGTACGTAAAAACTAATTAGCTTGGAAATTTCAGAAATTAACTAGACAATCCTTCGTAGTGTGTCTCTTGTATAATGGTTCTTGGTCAGTCTCCATACATTTCCAGTTATTCTTTACATGAATCGTTCGAAAATGTTTCTTTTTTTATCTCTTTTTTTTTCTATCAACTTTTTAAAACACGAAGTTATGATAGAATGAGTATCTCATTTGTTTGTTCGAACGATATAATCTAAAATCACCTACCATAACCAAGGCACATTATTGAGAAATTCTTTAAGATCTTGTTTTTGTCATCTTACGCCTTCTAATGAAGATGGGAACATTGACAGGGAA